GACTTGTTAAGTCTTTGATTTATACTGCTTTTGATTTGTCTTCTTTCGCTAATATTAATTCCTATAGAAATTAAAGCCTAACAACTGTATTTTTCCAGGTAGTTGGGACTTGCAAGAAAGTGAGCTTTTGTCAGAAATTGGAGGACTTGCACACTAGTAAACATTCAAGACTTGTGTTCTTCTAAAGCCGTCACAAAGGTTTTATATTTTTTTTTTCGTGAAAACTTGCAAAACAATGGACATTGGATTTTTAATGTTTATTATCATCATCCTCTTACTGCTTTTCTTCTCTACATTCTCGTGTGGAATTGATATCATCACCTCATCCACCAATCTTAGTGATGGTAGAACCTTGGTTTCTAGCGATGGAAGATTTGAACTGGGGTTCTTCAGTTCTAGCACGTTCTTCAATCTTTCGTTGTTCCCTTTGATCTATTATTGTGAGAGATTGATTTCAATAGGGAAACAGTGAGGAAGTTGGAGAGGTAAAATGTAGGATTATGTAAGATGATTTTAAAGTGGGAAATAGAAGAGTAAATAAGGCAAACAGAGAAGGAAGAGAGAAAAAGTTTTACCGTGAAAGTAAATAAGGGTAATTTTTTTTTAATAGTTACAATTTGGGGTAAGGGATAGGGAATTGTAATACAGTAGCATCATGGTTCGAATCTTGATTATTATTAAAATATTTAATTTGGTGCACCTACTAAGTAACTCATAAAATTTGACACGTAAAATAAGTTATTTTAGTTTGAATGAAAGTAAAAATCCATAATTAAAAGAGTCACTAAATCAAAGAAAGATACTACTTTAATTGAGTTTTGATAATTTAATTGAAAATCCCTTTAATTGATTTATTTATTTTTACTTCTGAAAACCTTCAGAACAACTAAACAATGGACATTAGATTTTTAATGTTTATTATCATCATCCTCTTACTGCTTTTCTTTTCTCCATTCTCATGTGGAACTGATATCATGATCTCATCCACCAATCTTAGTGATGGTAGAACCTTAGTTTCTAATGATGGAAGCTTTGAACTGGGCTTTTTCAGTTCTGGAAGCTCCACCAGGAGCCGTTACTTGGGAATTTGGTTAAAGAAAATCTCAGTTCAAACAGTTGTTTGGGTTGCAAATAGGTGCGACCCGATTAATGACACGTCTGGTGTTTTGATGATAAACAGCACAGGCAATCTGGTACTCCTCAGTCAAAGCGGGAGTGTTGTTTGGGCACCAAACTCAAGGAATGGTGCTCAAAACCCAGTTTTGCAGCTCTTGGATTCTGGAAATCTTGTTCTACAGGATAGAATTGCTGGTAAATCAGAAACACTTTTGTGGCAAAGCTTTGACTATCCCACTAATTCTTGGCTGCCAGGGATGAAACTTGGATGGGACTTAAGGACTAATCTTAATCGACGACTATCAGCGTGGAAGTCCCCAGATGATCCATGCCCTGGAGACTTAACTCTTGGGATAGAGCGATTTAATTATCCCGACCTTGTTATGTGGAAAGGCTCAAACAAGTATTTCCGTGCAGGCCGCTGGGATGGCATTGGAGCGACTGGTTTACGCCTGCCGGAGCCAAATCTCTACTTTACGTTCAATGTCACCATAAATGAAGAGGAGATATACATCATCTATTACCTCAAAATCAAATCAATAATCACAGCAATTGTTTTGAACCAAACTTCCAGTAGGCTGCAGCGCACCATATGGAATGAAGACGCTAGAACTTGGGTAGTGTACAGTCAACTTCCAACAGATGACTGTGATAACTATGGGATGTGTGCGGCATATGAGACCTGCTTCGACACAACGATGCCGCCTTGTCAATGTTTGAAAGGTTTCAAGCGGAAATCACAAGAATGGAACTCAGTGAACTTGTCTAGTCAGGGATGTGTGCGCAATAACGCATTAGACTGTCAGAAAGGAGATGGATTTATCAAATTTGAGGGGTTGAAACTGCCAGATACTGAACATTCTTGGGTGAATAGAAGTATGGATCTCAATGAGTGCAGGGCTAAATGCTTAGGAGATTGTTCTTGTATGGCCGACACAACCTTGGATGTTAAAGAAAACAGAGGCTGTGCAATTTGGTTTGGTGAGCTACTTGATCTTAAGAAGGTCCAATTTGCTAGACAACATTTATACATTCGAATGTCGGCTGCTGATTCAGGTATTGGGTTAGACATTTCAATTTTTCATTAAGTTTTGTAATGATTTCTATTTCTGTTGGGTGTTATAAGTTCTATTTTCAGTCAAGTTGGGAAACTATTTCATTGTTAAGATACTATTCACTTATTTCCAAGCACCCCCTTATATAATAAAATTGATTAGTTTGGGTACTTAAATAATAAAACTGAAAAGTCGTGAACCTTGATTAGAAATAAAAAAAAAAGGTTCAAGTCTTTGATTAGTAACTTTCAAGAGTTAAAGAGTCCTTTTTCACTATAAACTTCTGGAATATAAAATCTCTGATCTCCTTTCATCTGGTTTCTCCTTTCTTCCAACCACTTCTAATCCCAGCTCTAAAGTCAGAGTCAGGGAATATGAAATCCTACTTTCTGCTTGTTGCAGCCGGTCTTTTTCAAAAGGCCCGATTTGTGGAAGGACCAATGGTATTTTTTGCGTAAAGTCCGGCCCCAATTACAATTCGACCGGTAACATCACTAGCTTGATTATTCATATTACTGCTGATTTGTTCTCTAGGCATCAGGTAAATGTATTAAGCAAATTGATTTCTGGGAATTTGTTTTTTCTGTTGTTATTATTGAGGAAGAGATCAAAATTGCATGCCCTCTCTTCTGTGGACTAAATGACTAGGATACATGCACCTCCATCAAATCCTGTTGCACATAAATGGAGGTTCCCACAATTCTGTTGCATGTGAAGAAGCCAAGAATAATGCATACAAATCAAGGAACCCAGTCCACAAGGCATTCTTCAATTGCATGGTGGCATTTTCAACCCTGCACAGCCAGTTGAATCTCACTGCCAAGACAAGCTGGGAAGTGGGAATGAGGTGACCTAGTCAAGTCTTTGTTTTTTACTTTGACTTGTCCTGTTGGCTGTTCCCTCACACCATACGAATCAATTACTCCCATCTCTATCAAAATATAAGTTCTTTTTGCTCATATCTTTAGATAATGGAGATTTTTATTTTTTTCCCTAAACATAATTCTAGTTATGTTTAGTAATTTCATTTTATAAAATGAATTTTAATTACTATTTTATATAAATATATATAAAACTATCACCTAAAATTTCTGAAAAATTAAAGTAAAAAATTTATATTTTAAAACAGATGGAGTAATTTTAAGAAAAAATTTCTTGCTTCTCATGTCATTGTCTCATTGTATAATGAAGCAGCCTGTCTTCACACTAGAATCATAATATGTGTTCCTGTAAAAATTGAAGCCTAACTACGGTATTTCCCAGGGTAGTTGGGACTCCCCGTGGCTCCCCCATTTATCATGAAGCTAGAAAACAGAGAACCGTTGTTATCTTTCATTCAAGGGATATACAAGGTAAATGTTAAGAGCTCAAGTAAAAATGACTATTAGGATAAGAAGTCTTTGTTTGTTAAGAAACGAACATTAAGTGTACACCTTTCCAGGGTATAACCTATAAAATTATATAAAAAATGATAAAAAATTGTTTTTAAATCGTTTTCCATCACACATCAAGGTTCTACCAAAACACCCCGGAAACTGCTCTGCACAAGAACCCCAAAGAAAGCAAGACGAGAATGTGCAGGGGTTTGTTTAGAGATGATACCGTCTGCCGGCTGCTACATATGGAAACTATCACCGGCATCACGGATCCGATCGGCAGAATCCACCCTTTTTTGTGAAACCAAGCGCACACACAGACCAGAGTGTTTTCGGATCCCTTATCTTCTCAGCCAAGAGATGGAATGTGAAATCTCTCCTCTATTTTTACCTGCTAACTTGTTGTCTTGTTCTCCCGCTGGCGTTTTCAGTGAAAGGATTTGTGCGATGGTGTATTTGGGGATGGTGAAGCTTCGGCTTTTTATTGCTCCTGATTTGTCCTCTCAGGTTCAGGGAATTAAATTTATTAAGCAAATTGATTTTTGGGTTATCTGTTTTTCTGTTGTTATTATTGAGTATGAGATCAAAATTGCATGCCTTCTCTGTTTGGTTACTGTGAAAGTAGAGGAAAATTGAAGATAAAATTATCTGATCCCATTTCGTGGACTAAAGTAGAATGCATGCACCTCCATCAAATCCTGTTGACATCAATGGAAGGAAAGACAATTCTGTTGCCAAGAATTGTTGTTCCTCGTAAGATAAACAGAAGAACAAATAGACAGAAGATTAGCAAAAACAACTGATTATAGATGAAAATAAAAAGTAGAAAGATGTCACCGAAAGTATGAGGAGCTTGAGCTGAGGCGTGGATCAATCACTCTTTTTAGGACGTTTCGTGCCCTGATGCAGCAGATTTTTATGGTCACGCCGCCCCCAGGATACAACAGCCCAACCTCCTTGTTGTGTCTTTACAAGTACTGCACTCTTGTAAAGAAAGCTCTACCCCACCACCTTTTCCTTGTCCAAAAAGAGTTTGAATGCTGTGGCTTTTTAGAATAGGAGTGCAGATTATGAAAAGGAAAAATCAGCCTTGGAACAGACGGAGGAACAAAATATTAAATTGGAATGAATGTTTTTTTTTTTTTTTTCAGTTATCAAAATAATATTTGAAATAGATGTACTAACATATTGCTTTAAAACATTTGAAAAGCAGAAACGCATAATCCTTTTCAATAAGACAAAAAACGCATGGGTTCTTTCTTGAATGGATTCAAGAAACCGAGGAAACGGAAATAATTCTTTAAATAAATGGCTATTACCATTTGATTCCTTCAGTAAAATATAAACGCATACATCCTCCTTTGAAACAGTTATGTTGGCTGATTCAAAAATATAAGCTTGTAACTGACAAATTTAAGTTTTTGAAAGCAATGGATTTGAAACTGACTGGAGTTGCAAAACGGTTTGTAATAATTTTTTTTTTTTAATTAAAATCTATAACATTCCCCCTCCATTTTAATTAAAAATAAGAACTTTAGAAGATAAAGAATTTATAGGCAAGGATGGATTATTATGCATAATAAAGGTAACAATGCCTTGAACCTCTACTTAGTGAGTCAATGATTCCTATCCCAAAGTCACTAGTGAGCAAAGTCTTGAACTAGGACTACTTGGAGGATATAAGAGACCATATTACACACATTATAATCCAGGTGTTAATTTGAGCTTGTAAGCCGGCACATTACGGCCTTTGTGCCTAATCCTGTATTCATGGATGATCTAGAGAATAGCCCTATTCTCATAGGAGCGGC